TAAAAGATATAATTGAATACACACCATTACGTTACCTTGAAGTAACATGCACATTACGTAAACTGCCTCATGCCCGAGACACTAATCTAGTAGACACGCCTACTTCTACAGATAATGCAGGTAACTGTGATCGCAAAGTACGTATTAAAATTTCATATCGCGTTCGTTTGTGTGACCAACAGCTGTTGTTCGCTTTGATTATCTATGAACAAGCAAATGCACCAACAACATACACACGCAGAAATCTCATGTTAGAGTTTCGTAAAATTGAAAACGAAACATATGAAGAGTCCAATGGCTACGAGGAACAACCGGCGATAGCAGTAAATGCAAACGAAGAGGAAACTATCACAACTGTAGAGTCTCCTAACACTGATGATATTACAAATGCATTGGAAACTGCAACATTTTCAATTTTGCGTACTCCTACAAAATCAATTTGTACTCCACCACCAACACCGGTGCGGAAACCGCGTTCACAGCGCCAAACGCCAGACAGTGCACGCCTCAGAGCATCGTCCTCAGCTATTCCAAAACGTAGCGCAGCGCGTAGCTTAAGACTCTAAACGTACAAATTCTTTCCTCGTCGATTCCAAAATTATAAAAAAAAAAAATTTTAAGTATTCCAGCACATTTATGCAAATTGTAATTCTAAATATTTTTATTTGTTTATGAAAGTATTTAAAATTCATAATTTGTTTCAAGTGTTTACACGTCAAAATCCTAATTACAAAATTATTTAACTCTCTTATGGAAGAACTAAATTAAAGTAAATTTTTCCATTATTGATTTAAATATTTTTATTTCATAAAAAAAATTAAATATTAAATACAGTAGGTGTGGATTCGCATAAACGAACTGTTTTTCTAAATGCGCTCTAATATTTAAAATTTTTAATCATTTGTGCAATTCTCTTTTGAATTGTATTTCTCTATCCTTTATTTTATATTTACTAATTTTAATTGCGATACATATATATTTTATTGTAACAATTAAATTTTAGTTATTTATATTTTTAATTAACAAAATTTTGTACTTTACATTGCTGTTGTCTATATGTAATATTATTCATTAATGTTCAAATATCATCAGTCTTCAAATGATATTTAATTTATTTGTTAGAATTTTTAGTGAAATTTTTTGAATCATGCGGTTTTCGAAATAAAAAATTTTTAGTATTTAAAAATAAAGAACTTCTTATTTTTCCTGTGCTTTGCATAGGCGTGCAATTTAATCACAATTATTCATATTGGTTACTAGGTTTGGTTAGGTTAAAGTGGTTGCCAGGTGCACAAAAGATCACTTAATCATAGATAATGATCCTTTATGGTACCCTGAACTATCAGCTGGCTACTAGGCCCTGCGATCATCTTACAAGCAGAAGTATCTGGGCTTTCGGGCATAGAGACATAGAAGATCACAAGTAGTTAACGTACTTGCAGATTAATTAAAATTATATCCAATTTAGTTATTCGATCTTCTTCCTCAGATGGGTTATAGAATAACGATTGTCGCATTAACGTGATATTGTATGTTAAGAGCATAAGTCCATAAGGTGAGTTTGGTTAAGACAATCACATAAGAATCCTTTTTCTATTCAAATATCTCTTCTATCGAAGATTTGAATCATCTAAAGAGAATTTAGATAATACCTACCTTTATAGTTGTTAATAGAACATATTCTGGTATACAACATATTTTTATTAGTTCAAAAACTGCTTATTCGTTTAATTTTTTGAAAATTCTTATTATTATACAATTTAATATAACATTAACTTTTTTTAACAAAATAAAAGGATTTTTATGAAGTTAAGATACTTTTTTCTACACACATTTTTTTTAGTATACAATAATTTATATATATATATTTAAATATATACTTACATTTGAAGGACACATAAATCTTAATCTAAAAATAAGTTGGAAAGTATTTGCAGAACTGGAAATGATTAGATTGCTTTGTATAATTATTGGAATTAAAACTAGAATTCTTAAGTCTAACTATTGGCTTAACTTAATATAAATAACATTAATCAAACAAATACTGTAATTAAATATATTAATAAAAATAATTTTCTATAGTTAAAATGTAAGGATAAGGTTTCCTTATTTGTTGTAATTCTAACTGCTGTCGGGATCCACTGGTATCGCTTTGACTATGAAACGTTTACGGTCGGCCAATGAGAGACTTGAGTTGCCTTTGGAATGGGCGTATGAAGACTATGAAATAAGAATATATAAAGTAATTATTATATAATAGCGCGAATTCACGACTTATATATAAGCGAATGAATATTAATATAAAATTAGTAGCAAATCAAATGTGTGGATCAATATAGGAGGATCATGCAAAACCTTCACACAAGCAGATTGGAATACGTAAATTTCAGAGCAAAATTTTAGTCATAAGGACTTAGAGAAGTGATTATCTTGTTAGAAAAGATTTTAAATTATTAGTAAAAAGTTATAAAAATAAAAGCAAATACTCACACAAATTATATAGGATTTTTATTCTACAACAAAAAAAAATATATATATGGTATATAAAAATCTTAAAATAAAAATTTTTCAAAAACATTTAAAATGTGAATCACAAAATCTTATTTCCATTATCTTTTTTTTTTAAATCATTTCTTTTTTTCTTGCAATTAGAAAATGCAAATTGTTTGATTAATTTCGTTAAATGTCGGTTGTAGGGTCCTGAGCTAAATGTGAGTTGGATTTTGTGCTTAACGAGTATTTAAAAAAACTCAATATTGTTTATCTAAAACGAGATGAAAAAATAAAAAAAGAAAATACATAAAGACATAAATAATAAAACTAATGAAATAAAAATTCAAAAGAAAAGAAAACAATATATGAATAAATAAAAATTTATTTCTTAAAATATCAGAATTTCAATATTTGACTCCCGCAACTAGGTGGGGCTCTTCAAAGAAGGAGCCTAGTAATTGTGAAGATGTCAGGTATGTTGATATGTAGTAATGAATATATGCTTTGAATGAGATCTTAAGTGTAAATCTCACGTAAGATACTTAGAGTGTAAATCTCCAAGTATCCAAAGTTCTTTAAAATTTTTAGAATTTAATGAGGATGATATTTGAGTCGATTTCACGGTGGTAACTTAAGTTTCAAAATTGATTAAAAGGTAATTATTTAAGCATGACTTAAATCAGTATTAAAAGTTAAGTTAGGATTGTGTGAAATCGGCTTTAAATCTTGTATTTTAAATGCTTTTTGTTTGTATGTTAGTTTTTTCATTTGAAGAATGTATGGACATAATACCCAATTCACACAACAAACTTAAGGTAGAAAAATATTGTTACGGGTCACTTGGCTTTTTATGCTCTTTAAGATTTCTTATGGAAGAATGCTAAAGTTTATATTTACATTATATAGGTATTTGCTTACAGAACAGAGTCAGAAAGGTAATCAAAACGATTTTTGTAATAATGATGGCTTTTTATAAAGTATCAAACTTGTACGAATATAATGATCACAATTACTTTGAAGTAAATTCTTGCTTATACTCAACGATTTATGATCATTTCTCGTTGGTAATATCAGCCATTGGGGAACAAGTATACAATTAAATAAAATACAAATAAAGAAAAAAGATATTAGGTAAAGAAAGATCCATCCTATGTTTTCTCAAAACATATGATATATCATGATATATTAATTTGAAAACATAATTTTTCTATGAATCTATGTTATAATGCAAGGAATTTGTGTGGTACGATAGAAGAAATAGTCTACATGCTAAATGTAGACAATATTTATGAGTCATATGATTGCAGGCAATACCCATATGCAGAGTAGATTTTTAAATCCTTTAGAATATGTGCCAGTTATTACGACAATTGCACTTACTTGAAACCCCCAGGGGACTAAGCGCAGAGGCAGATCAGCAATGACCTGGAGAAGGACTGTTCAGCAGGAAACGTGCAAATAATTTAATGCATTGAGAGCAATATCACACAATAGAATCCAGTGGAAAACTTTTGTAGACTCCTTAAGCTCTTAATGGAGTATGGAAAAAATAATATAATAATATTACGACAATATCATGAGTGCTCATATTAGTAATCTATAGTTTACGTTGATTATTACTCGAAGTATAACTGTTTTATTTTTTTATGACCTAATGAAAAAAATTGCAGAATGGTCTACATAAGTGATGAATTTAAACTTATTTTGAGATGGAACAAGCTCAAAGTTAAGCTCTCCGAAGGCTCTTCAAAGTGCCATGGTACATCCGCACGAATGACATGCTAAGAGACCTTAGAATAGATCCGGTCAAAAAATATATAACGGACAGAGCTCTAAAGCTATATGCGAAAACCGACAGGCTGCCCTACTTAGCACTATCTAATCTCAGAGTAATCACTAACTGCACGGAGTGGTACGCAGATCTTAGATCAATCATTGAATAATCACGAAGATTATGAGGAATACTCAAATTAGTCAGTGAGATGGGTGGGACTCTACAGAAACCCCTCAGCCACCATAGAGTAAAAGGGTCCATATGCACTAACTCGGAAAAGGCTCAACATAAGAGATGGAACAAATTTAAATAGAAAATATAATGAAGAGCGGTAGTGATCGAAAAATAATCTCAGGTATTCTCTGCCAACTCTGCTTCAGGGTCTAAAAGTCAAAAGATATTCAAGTTAGCAGCGACTTTTATCTGTTGTGGACTAATGTATCTTTTGTGGTGAGCTACATGTATGAGGTACTCTTATGGATTAATGAATCTTTAGCTTATATCAAACAGTTTATTGTTTTAGAAATGTGTATTGTCAAAACCCAAGTGTAAATTTTGGTACATCGCTCAAAATCAGTTTCTTTAGAAATATAAAGTGAATGTTAATAATTTATTTCAAATAACTCGTGTGTTTAATATAATTTTGTGTAATTTTTTGGTTTAAGCGGAAATCATTAAAAATTATAATTTTCATCATATTATCTTAAAATAAATTCCCCAACCAATTTGAATGTAAATATAAACCAATTATTAAAACCACAGAATAAGATCCATAATGATTAAAAACCTGAACACCCTACAAATGGTCACACTATACACATTACTTATAAACAATACAATACAGCTTATATAAAAATATTATTTAATTGTATGGGAATTATTGTATACCTCAACACATTTACACTGATTCTCATCGAAGATGGTCCCTGTGGTGCAAGTGTCAGTGTCACGGCAGACGCACCTACATTTGTTCTCATCCCAAATTTTGTGATCCTCCTTTAAGAACAAAAATAAAAAAATTTTTAATGATTAATAAAAATTTTTGAATTTGCAAATAAAAAATTAAGTGACTACCGTTAAACATTTCTGCACTAAATCATGCAGCTCATCCAATTTACAGATGCAACTGCAACGGCTTGGATCGTATATTTGATAGGAGTTACAATCCTAAAAATAATATATTACCACTGAAGTCTTTTAAAAATTTTTATATAAAATTTTATTTTAATAAAAGTAATTTAATAGGGTGCTAAGTACTTTATTTTTACCTCGGCTTTTATTAAGCAACCGCAGCTACAGGCCTTGTGTTCTTCAATAAGAACTATTTCCTGTCCATCAAGTATAAGTCTATTGTTTGCTGCATAACGGATTCTTTTTATCTATCAAGATGTCGATTATTATTTTTACAAGTTTGGAAATATTTTTTAATATACAATAAACGTACAACAAAATTTATTATTTCGGTTTCCGTAGGTTGACAAGTCGTCAATTTCGAACTGCAGCAACCGCCACAACGATTGACTTGCGTGCAAGAGGGATAGTAATATACGCCGGGATCTTTTGTACCATTTAATGGGGTAAGAGGCACAATTGTGGATTTTGGTGCACAAGTTACTGACTTAGGTATGACCGCTCGAGCTGTTGACAGGAAGAAAAAGGAATAAAATAATGTTAACTGTCGTTGAGGAATAGGTGCGTTGCTATGGGCAATAATTGCCAGATGATTTCTAATTTCTCAAAAATAAAAAAAGTACATATTTTATTTGATTTGTATATATTATTGTTATTGCAACGAACACCCACAAAGTATAGTTATGATGGTGTTATGCGTATGACATTCATTATAGAAGATACTAAAGGTATTTCAATAACCAAAAAAGATTTAATACTTACAACGTTCAACATTTCTTTTCATGTTACCTTAAATGAGAAATTAAGGGAATAAATGTTATTTTAAAATGATAAAAAAAATATTAAAAATAAGCTTAAAATATTATTAACTTTTTATGTTTAGCTGGGCAAAAAGTATTCGACGTTCGTATATTTTAATATATCTTCATTAATGTCGAAAGTAAAAATTTAGGTATAACTAACTAAAAATACAGAATCTGTAGGTAGTAACGGAAAATAAAACCTCTAAACACTTTTTATGTAAAGAGTCGCGCTCTCTAAGATTAAGACATTCCACTATGGAAGCCGACGAAGAATTAAGCCTGACAAATATCTCAAATATAAATCTTACAGTAGTAATTATCTTTAACATATTAAGATAAGATAAGAAAGAACAGGGTACTAGCTTCCATTTGAGCAGAGCACCGCGACCATGATTGATCTTTTGTGCTACAACAGACCCTAACTGAACAAAAGATATTCCGTCTTTCGAATGAAGGCCAAAATGTCGGTTGTTGAGGACGTCCTAATGTCGGAAGGTGAGAGCAATCTTTAACATATTAGTTTATAGACTTAGAATCTCAACTCCACTTCTGTGATAATAAAATAATGGCGTCTATGTCATACTTGGACAAAACACGAAGCAGCAATATGCCGAGTATTTTTGGTACAACAAGTAAATAACCCATTTATAACCATATATTAAAGCAAAATTATTAGAAAATAATACGGTAGCACAATGGGCCTATAGACCGAAGTGGATCCGGTATAACCTAACCTAACCTAAATAGAAAAGAATACGAACACATTTAACATAACCTAGACAGTTGTGAATGACCTTCTTAAAGGACACTAATCGTCATTTAACATCAGGTTGTCCAAGATGGAGATCCTAACCAAAAAAGTTTTATAAAAATTATTATCCAAAATAGTTGTTTGTGAAGTGGTAGTGTGCGTTATCACAGGTGTTACAAATTATTACAAAAATTTACATATCTCTTAAGAGTGAATTAAGTGCTATTAATTAAATTTCTAATCTAGTTGAAAAGAAAAATATAAACATATTACAGATTATTCAATTTTTGCTTCTGTACCCTAAGAACGTTCTTGACTTTTAGACATAAATAATAATAGTGTTAAATGAACTCTACAATAAATAACTCTATACGTAAATAAATCGGAGTTCAGATTTCCGGAAGGATGTCGATTCGATAATGGATATTAGTACAGTTATTTAAACAATTTTTTTACACTACATGCGATCCCGAAATTGTTTATATAAATCGTGATTTAAAATTATAAACTATTAATATTAATTATTATGTCAATTAGTTTACGCAATTTTCACATTGATTACACGCACTATGAGTAACAATAAGTAGACGCACTACATTGTGGTTTTCATGTATGCATTTCCGGCTTTAAAGCCACATATCTCGAAAACTGGGCTCTCTTAATATATACCGTAATGGAAAAGTTGCACAGAATAGCTGTCTTTACGTCGTTAGTTCCGTTGTAGAATGGGTTTGCTCGGGAATCATGACAATGATTATTATCAGTCACTGATCACGTAAAACCATACTAATAATAATGTATGCATTATATTTAGAATACCAAAATAGCTTTAAAAAACCCCTGCCCAATTAAAAATTATTCATTATTCGTGCGTTGTTTAATTAAATTTAAAATGTTCTTAAAAAAGATTTTGCTTTTTTTTATTTATTTAAATTAAACATTACGTCTTTGATGACAAAATTTTATCATATTGTTTAAATTCATTACGTTACACTTCGGCATTACTCACTTGGTATGTCAACTTGCGGATCGAGGGTGTCTTTATCCACGTAACGATCGATTAACTCAGATATGTCATTTATATTATCTAATTCTTTATAGAACTCCATTGGAATCTGTAATTTAACAGAAAAATTGATTATAACATTATAAACAAAACAAAAATTAATTTATAAAATAATACGCATTTTATAAAATATACGAATTTATTTAAACATTTTATTTCTAAATATGATTCATTCAAATTGAAGTTTATTTTGAGATACACTTCTATTATCGTCAATTAAGTCCGAATTAGCAGTGCACGTCTAATGAAACACGTCAAATAATTAATTTGGACATTTTTGCAAAAGAACAATACTAGCTATTGTTAAGCTCAAAGTTTCAGAGACAGTCAAGGGACGAAGAAAAACAATGGGCACAATAAAAGGAATCGCGTAGAACCCTGAGATATAGAAAAGATACAGTTATACATTGTAATAAAAATGCAACTAGTTTCAATCCGAAGTTTTCATTCGAGCTAATAAAGTAGTGAAATAAAGTAGCACTTTTGTTCGTCATATACAATAAATCAATGATAAACAGTGAGACTACAAAACCACTCTAAAATCTCTAATTGGTTAATATGTTATTTATATTCGTGGATATAGATATATTTAGGAAACGAAGTAGCAAACGTGATGATCAGAAGATGTTCTAAAATAAGGCCAAGACTTAATACGAACGCCTATGCATAAACTATTTGGGAACAAAGAAAAACTTACCATCATCATCATCATCAATGACTATACAGTCCATGTAGGATCTAAGCATGTTTAACAACAGTCTTCCAATCTTCTCTGTTTTTTGCTTTTGTTTTCTAATTTCTTATATTCATTTCTTCTAAGAGAGTGTGCAGCACACTGTTTTTCCATCGTTTTCTTGGTCACGGTCTTCTTCTGCTGGTTTCTATTTCGAAACTCATCATCGCAATGACAAATAACTTCTGGACAAGACTATAAACACTGTGAGGTTGCAGGATTGTTATTGTCTCAATTATACAGAAATGAAACGAAAGTTCTGGTGAAGTTTAGCTAACTGTTAATTAATGTACTTTCTGAAGAACTAATGGGAAATTGCACCGTTGCTTCAACATTGGCATATTCTGACAAATGAACTGTTGGAAGTTGCCACAATGAAGAAGAGATAGAATCCATTAATCACTTTATGTGTTTTTGTCTGGAACTACAGACAAAACGATTTTAATCGCTTATAGTCAAATTATTCATTGCACTCAAAAACTACTACATTCACCGATGTATCCTCAACTTTCTCTGAAATTAAATAGTTTAACAAGGATAATGAAGATATCAACGGTTAGTGTAACTATGCTCTCCCAGGCAACTTTAAGGGTATCGCAATGAATAATAGATGTCTTCTTAAGCTAACTTAATCTAACATGTAATTGTTTCTAATGGCCCAAATAATATATTCCAATTTAAATATATATATATTAAGATAGTAGGATTATTTATTTTCAGTTGCGTCTAATTGAATTGGGACACTCATTGAATACTAGAATAAAATACGTATTTATTTTAGTTTTAATTGTTCATTTTATAGATATAGGTATAGGTATATTCTAATAGGCTAATGAATATAAAACAATTTTTGGAGAGATTTAATCTACTTCATTTAATTTTTTAATTAAATTAAGTTTTAAAAATCTACTGAATATATCAAAACCAGTTATTGGAAAAATCATCTAAAGATGGTTCAGAGAATTTTTGCATTCTGCATCTAAAAATAAATACATCCACACCAACGCCAATAAGCTACCAATTTTGCTAATCTCGAAGGCGGTGGCAGTAAATAAGAGCCAGGCTTTATTTGTTGTCAGCCTCGGGCGTGCGTTCAGAACGTTGACTTATAAGCTTCACGACTCGGAAGCAACAATGCAGTTGCCGCACACAAGTGAGTTCGATTTTTGTTTCTTATTTTATTTCTGAATGAAATAAACGTTTGAATGATTCATCGAAAATTCCTCTAAAACTCTTAATAAAAATATTTTCATAATCGTAAGGGCAAATGACAAAAAAAAAAGCAGAAAATATTGGCGCCAACAAATATGTTGAACAGTTATAAAAATAGATCAATCTGTATCTGTGCCAATAACAACCTGTTTTTCGAAGTCGACTAAATTTTTCGAAATTAATTGGCTTGTTTTAGGAAAGGCTTTGTCAACTGCGGTTGCAAATTATTTGGTTAGTGACTAATGATGGTATTTTGTTTTTAATGTGTTAGGAATGTCTGGTTTTACTGTTTACTTACAACAGAAAAATATAAACTATTAAATATTTAATTTACTTCAATTTTTTTCACTTTTAAAGTGTCGAGCTCAATTTGTTGTTTACTTAAGCGTTTTATAGCGGGAAATACTTTCAAACTTGTAACTTCGCATGTCTATAAGATATTAAAAAGCTGTTCTAGACTTCTACCGGCAGCAGTTTTTGTCAGAAATGAAATAAAACGAAACCTATAAATACAGTCGCGAAGCAGTATTTGTTTTTCTAGTTTGTTTTTTTTTTAGAATTATTTAATTATTAACTCAGACTTTAGAAAAGTTATATAAGCTGTTAAATACAATATCTGTGACGTCTTCGAGTTTATGAGCAGCGGTGAAAGTATTTATGAATCATCATTTGTTATCTTCATAAAACGTTTTTATTGTCAAATGTCAGGATCTTTTCAGTATTTTTTAAATACATGATATTTAATAAAAAAGTTCATTACATTAATTATAATCACATTAATTATAAAGAGGTTTTTTCGATTATAATTAATTAATTAAAAAGTATATGGTGTTTTCGCTCTTAAATGAGTCAAAAGATCATAAATAATACGAACGCCCATTAGGGGTGTTCACAATCTTCTGATTGTGAAGTGATCATTTTCCGTCAATGTCAATTG